TATACATATCTAAAAGAACACTTAAAAAGAAAAGTACATTCTCACACCTGAAAAAACTGACAAATCCTTTTCATTAATTATCCAGAGTCTAAATTTCCCCAATTTTGAATAAATGTCTTTTTACAGTTAGTTTGCTCAAAGCAGGATATAACTAAGGTTCATACATTGCATTTGATGGATAAGCCTCTCAAGTCTCCTTCAATCTTATAGTTTTCCCTCCCTCTCTTATTTCTTGCTATTAATTTTTTTTTAAGAAACTAGGTCATTTTTCTTTTATTTATTTTTTTAATTTTTATTTTTTTGAGACAGGGTCTCACTCTGTTGCCCAGGATGGAGTGCAGTGATGCAATTATGGCTCACTGCAGCCTTGGCCTCCCATACTTAAGTGATCTTCCCACCTCAGCTTCCTGAGTAGCTGGGACCATGTCCAGCTAATTAAAAAAATTTCTTTGTAGAGACAGGATCTCACCATGTTGCCCAGGCTGGTCTTGAACTCCTGGGCAAGAGGGGTCTTCCCACGTCAGCCTCCCAAAGAGCTAGGATTACAGGTGTGAGCCATCTTAAAACACAAAGTATTTAATTTATTTCATAGTTTGTGTCTTGTTAGTAGAATGTAAACACCATGAAGGCAGAAATTAGTCTGTGAGGTATCAGCATCTAGACCTGTGACATGTAAAAGGCATCCAATAAATATTGAATGTACTTGGCATCCATGCCAAAAGTCCACTGCTCACCAACAGCAGAAATTGCTAATCACAGCACTCTTTCCTGTTAAGTCTGAACAAGGACTCCCAGTTTTCTCAACACAGCACTCTAAGCAGCCACCACTAAACAATCAGATTTGGTACCCCAAATGAAATTTATTTGCTGTCCCTGCTTCAGCCCCCTTCAGAAGTGTACTATCTCTAAAACAGATTTCATTGCACCTTGTATGCTGACATTTGCATGATAAATTACTGACTGTGTTTCTTGTCAACTATACTTAAACATTTCTTAGTTTATTTTAGACAGTTTAGGGGAAAAAGAAAACTGTAGCCAAAAAAATAATAGAAAAAGAAACTGCAGAAGATGGTGGGAAAAGGGGGGTATTACATATTTTTAGAATTAGCAACATCCCAAGAGGTTCATTATAAAATAAAAATCAGCAACAAATTCTCTGAAAAGGAAGTAAATTACATGTGTTAAATTAATTTTTTAAAAAACTACATGAACAGTCAAGATTAACTGGAGGATGAAGACAGATGTCAGGATTTTCCCATTTATAGGCATCAGCAACACATTCTATTTTCCTGCAACTGGTATTTTGAGGTGTAAAAGTATTACAGGGGTGATATCAGAGTACTATGTAGAACCCCATTTCTCTGAAATGGACTTTATGTAGCAAAAAGAATCTGAAACATCTGGTACAACATTCTGAAAAAGCTGTCAATTCTTCTTAGAGTCATTTACAATTCATTTCTGTTAAACTATCAGATGAAGCTCTTTTTCTCTAGGCTTATTTCCAAAGGTAGCTATGCTAATTGAAAGACTCCAGGTTGGGTATGGTGGCTCATATCTGTAATCCAAGCATTCTGGGAGGCTGAGGTGGGCGGATCATAAGGTCAAGAGATCAAGATCATCCTGGCCAACATGGTGAAACCCCAGCTCTACTAAAAATGCAAAAATTAGCTGGGTGTAGTGGCACATGCCTGTAGTCCCAGCTGCTCAGGAGGCTGAGGCAGGAGAATCACTTGAACCTAGAGGGGGTGGAGGTTGCAGTGAGCTGAGACTGTATCACTGCACTCCAGCCTGGCAACAGAGCAAGACTCCACCTCAAATAAAAAAAAAAAGACTCCAATCAGAAGTTTATGTTTTGATTACTTTTTCTATCAAAAAAGAAAAAAAAATAGAAATCCCTGACATTCAAAAAGCATTGTGCCTTCTCTTTATTACCTGTAAATTCATTAAACAACAAAAAGTATTTAGGACCTACTAAACATAATATGTTAGGCAGTTATTTTCAACCTTTGAAGAAAAAATATAAGTGATCTATTTAAGATAACATACCAAAAAAAAAAAAACAAAAGCTAGTGGCAGAACTTGAAATCATATCCAGATCTTTCAGTGACCAATATTTCTTGTCTTGAAGTTGCCACACATTAGTCTGGGGAAATTTTCTATGGCAGAGGTCACACTTGAACTAAGAAAATGTAGTTAAGTACCTCCCCTCCCCCACTACCACAAGTGTAAAAAAAATCTCTAAGAACCCAAGTCCCTTGAAAGAATGACTTCTATTTACATTTCCTGTGTAATATATTCAGAGGGAATCTGGAAAAGATGGCTAGAAATCTATAAACAGAAAGTGCTAACTGGAATTCACTGTTTATAGACTTCAACTAGAATTTTGTCCCTCATATATGAATGTTGCCAGGAATCTTCATATTATATTATTTAAAAACATCTTCATTAGTTTTTTTTCACTTTGTTGATTTTCTTCTGTTTTCCACTGGCTCTTAAATCTGCTTTATTCTCCTCAAAAACATAAATGTAACTTTTGGAATTACACTTTTTTCCCCCTCAAAGAAACTCCTCAAGCCACCTCAGTGCCATCATATATTGGTCACTATGAAATTTTAATATATACTGTTAAATATGTTTGTATAATAAAATAATCCATATAAGCCTTTCTAACTTAATAAATACAGGATAGGTTTACATTGATGTACTATGGTAAAATTATATGTATATGTTAGTTTTCAATTCTAAGTCTTTTGGCTTAAAATCTTTATCAGCTACAGAAGGTTCTGTCTAAAAACATTAGTTGTCCACATGTGTACCTATGAAACTATCTTGCATGTTCTGCACATGTACCCCAAAACCTAAAATGCAATAAATAAATAAATAACAAAAAACATTAGTTGTCCACAAAGCATAATAACTGTCTATAGTCCTTATCACCTGACCTACTAAAAAACCATAATAAATCATATTCTGAAATGACAGAATTCTTAAAATACAAAAGTGACATTCTGACAACCCAGAAAGAGGCTAAAGCTAAATCAAATGGAAACATCCTTGGGCTTCCCCTTTGAAACTTGCCTCAGTGGCATTCAGCAGTACTGGACTAGCTTCCTGTCCCATACTTTTCAGTCATTCCTTTCAGGAGTCTCAAAGAAATTATGAAACTTGCACAGCCAGACTTTGCCAGTCAACACTAACTTCTGCCTGCAGACTCCAGTGACTAAGTCAAGACAGCATTAGTAGCCTCCTTAAAGTACAAATGTCCCTGGTAAATCTGGCTTGCAAATACGACAGAAAAAGTTCAGCATAACCAACAGTAAGAACATTTAAATGCCAATCTTAAGGAAAGGACGGAGTTACTTCCCCTGCAAATTCCACTGAGGCAAATTTCCAGCTTACTTTGTAGAAGTCAATAAATACTACTACTATTACATTACAGCACTTCTACCATGCTAATAAAAAGCTAGGTGATAGTTCTCTCTTTAAAACCTGTTAAATTCACTAGACGAGACATTATACCACTTCACTACATGCAACTTTCTATACATATAACTGTTTTCCTTTCCAATTATTTGTTTTAAACTCAAGATCTCTTTTAACATACCAGAGAGGGAACAGGTTAGGCTGGGGTGGGGGGGCGGACAGGCGGGAATAACAAAATAACGAACATCTCATTTTCATTTTCTGATGCAACCACCAAAATCTAAAATGTAAGGACAAATACACAGTACAACATTAAGAGAATTTAGAGTAGGTGAAATTCACTGTTACTATAGTTCTGATCATTATTCACCTGAGGAAAGAGCTAGTAGAAGTGATGCTTGATTTAATTTTTTGGTACTTTCCAGTTGGTACAGAGAAAATAACAACTCACAAAATAAACAAGGTCCTCAGAGTTAAAGATTTTTCTCCAGAAAAGGTTGTTGGTATAAAAAAAAAAAAAAAAAAAAAGCATAAGGAGGCTGGGCGCTGTTGCTCATGCCTGTAATCCCAGCACTTTGGGAGGCCGAGGCAGGTGAATCACGAGGTCAGGAGTTCAAGATCAGCCTTGGCCGAGATGGTGAAACCCTGTCTCTACTAAAAATATAAAAATTAGCTGGGTGTGGTGGCGGGTGCCTATAATCCCAGCTACTTGGGAGGCTGAGGCAAAGAAATGCCTGAACCAAGGAGGCGGAGGTTGCAGTGAGCCGAGATCCTGCCGCTGCACTCCAGTCTGGGTGAGACTTGTCGCAAAAAAAGAGAAAAAAAAAACATAAGGAATTCATATGCTGTTAATAAGAACAACATTTTATGTTTCGAGACATGTAAATCTGATCACTCAGAAAATATTTTCTGTTGGCTATAAAGGAAACAGAAAAACTGAAACAACTGAATAACGTGAACATCTTCCGCAATTAAAAAATTTTAAATTCACCCTATTATGAAAACTGAATAATGAATTCATATCTCCTTAAGTATAAGAGTAATACATATTCAACATAGTAAGGGACAATGCCATTTCTGAAACAAAAGATTATGTGCAATGAAAACAAAGTAACATTTTGCAGAGTAAGAAAAAGTAAAGAGTCTGAACTGAAACAGATGACCTTTTCTTATACACAAAGCTTCAGTTTTTAGCACAACCAGCACCTTATGAATAAAGTGCTCAATAATATTTGTTGATATACTGTTTGATGACTAAACGACAGGAATATTGTCGGTGCTGTTAAAACCAAGACACATTTCCTTGTGTGTAGTGATTAAAATCTGTTAAATGTACTGTACATTTTTAAAAAAAAACCTCTGCACTCTTTTCCATTCTTGCTCTCTTGCCTCTAAGAGACCTACACGTACAAAAATAAAAGTAGATGGTGACGTGAGTTTATGATTTACATTAATTTCCCTACTCGGAGCATTTTTCAATAAGTCTTTTATGGTTTTAAGATTCGAACGCTATGTAAGAAGAATTATGGTTTGAACTACATAACAATTACGTAGACTTCTTTTGGACTTCAGTTAACCTGTAAGTAAAATGAGCATCTTTAACTTTTCCACGGGGCATTGGAGAACGGGTTCCTCTTCGTAAATGCTTTCATATCCTCAGACACCAGGCGCGGTAGAAGATCAAGCGTATCCATCAGTTAGAGAGCTTTCCATGACCTCAGTTTACCCTCTTAGGGAAACGGGCGTATTAACTTGTTTCCTAGGGAGCCCGGGGGTGAAATTAATTAGCTTGTTTAAAATGCTCTGAGATCCAAAGATGAAAGGAAATGTGAGAGACGCGCATAGATGATGACAACAATCATAGTAAAAAGAATGACTAACTTGGAAGTCTGCGTTATGTAAGGGACAAAAAGAAGTTATCAGATCCTCACAAACAAAAGGGAAACCCACCGCCCCTTTTGTTTCTCCCATTTCCCTTTCCTCGCTACCCGCTGAGCTCTCCTCTCGAAGCTGAAACCGGAGTGCGCGGCCTGCTAGGCGCGGGGCTCGGAGTTGGCCGCCTCGCACCCCGCTCCTAGGCGGAGGGGGAGGCCGCGCAGGGCCGGCTCTTGACAAAGGCGCTTCCTCCTGCCAGGGCGCGGGATGGAGGCGCCCGCCGTAAACTCCGCTCCCCGCCGCCGCGAGGGCGCGCAGGCGGGCGGTGAGAGCCGGCAGACTGGTCGCCGGGGGAAGCCGCCGAGGAAGTTGCACACCCACCCTCCCCGCGCCCCTCGGCGGCTCCGCCGCCATCCATCCCTGGGCTCCCCGCGGCCACACTCACCGGACAATTGCTGGTGGCCGTGATCCAAGCGTGGCCCCCGACACCCGAGGCAAAAGGGTGAAGTGTTGTGCGCGGGGAGCGCGAGCAGACAGCCCGCCGTTTCGCTGCTGCCCTCCGCGCCAGCCGGCCGAGCCCAGTGAGGGGAAGTTGACCGCAGAGCCGAGGGCTGAGGAGCCGCAGACGCAAGGAGAGGTGTGGGGGCTGCTTTGTGATGCGCTCCCCGAGGGCTGGGGACGAATTCCACTGTGCCGCTCGGTTGGCGCTGCTGCTGCTGGTGGCGGCGGCAGCGGCGGCGCCCCCCGACGGTCCGTCCGCCTCACACCACCTCTGGGTCACTGACACACACTCTCAGGGAGGGGAGGGGACTAGCCGGAAGGCGGGGACTGAGGGAGGGGACGGGGCAGTGCCACAGCGGGAGGCGGTGTCGCTGCACCAAATGGGCTCTTGGGAATTGTAGTTCCCCAGCTGAAGAAAAAAAGGGATGCATTGTTGCTCAGCACCCGACCAGGCTCGTTCTGCACTGAGCATGCTCGAGGGCGAGGTTTGGGCCGCCCCTCCCACTGTTACCGTGGTCACACTTAGCGAACGTGTTTAGTGCTGTTGTTGGCTGAACAAGGGCGATCTTGTATTATGGTGCTGCTGTGGATCCAGCTCTTAGCCTGTCCTTCCTACTTCGCTCCACCCCATTCCTAGCCTCACCGCTCATAAGTGCCCAGTGAGATCTAACTTCCTCTCGATATTTCAGTGTTCCCTGCTGCCTAATTTATTTTTCACAAACTCTTAAGTCACAAATACCTCTGTCCCTCGCTTCCCTCAATTGAATCTTCTCTGTCTAAATTCAGTTTTCTTTACCTAACACTTGTAAAAACGTAGTTGATTTCAGTAATTGAACAATTAGGTTATAAAACTTAGGAATATCACCACTATCAAAATCCTGTAACTAATTACTTTGCTCAATTAGTAACATCTAACTTTAGATTAGCAAAGGTAAAGTGCAGAATTAAGATTTCTATATTTTACTTGATTACTATAAAAGAATCCGGATTTGTTCATTTTAAGGCATACAAATTTCATAAAGTATAAGTTCAAAAGACAAGTTGAAAATTGTTGGCCAGGCACAGTGGCTCAAGCCTGTAATCCCAGCACTTTGGGAGGCCGAGGTGGGTGAATCACAAAGTCAAGAGATCGAGACTATCCTGGTCAACATGGTGAAACCCCGTCTCTACTAAAAACACAAAAAATTAGCTGGGCATGGTGGCGCGTGTCTGTAATCCCAGCTGCTCAGGAGGCTGAGGCAGGAGAATTGCTTGAACCCAGGAGGCGGAGGTTGCGGTGAGCCAAGATCGTGCCATTGCACTCCAGCCTGGGTAACAAGAGCGAAACTCCGTCTCAAAAAAAAAGAAAGAAAATTGTTTATATGTATTGGCCAACCTTAGTTTAGTAATAAGTGAAGTCTGAACCAAGGTATGAGTATGTTGCTGGGCTGGTCAGTTAAGTCTACACCCATCTTGGGCACCCAGGTGTGGATGGATAGGTGGTAGGGAAGAGGGTGGAGAAAGGCAGGACACATTACTGGCTCTCCAGAGTGCTGAAGGCAATGCCTCCGGAGCTCTTTTGTTTTCCTTCTCCGCCTACCTAGAACCCCAACCTTTTCTTCCATTAACCTGGAAGAAAAAGGTTAATGCTTAGGAATCAGACACACATTTGGAGCAGAGTTTTCAAATAGAGTCTCAAGATCAGAAATCCTTATATCAACAGACTAGATAATTATACACTCATTCAAAAAATGCTTGTTGAGTGTCTACTTGTGCTAGGCACTGTATTGAGCCCCAGAAATAGAGATACAAGAATGTAAAAGAAACATTCTTAATTTCAAAATGTTTACTATGCAAAGGAGGAGACAGGTAAATAGACCTAATATGAGAATTACTATAAGAGGAAAGTGCACAGCTACTCCCAGATTTGGGCAAAATTAGGAAATGCTTCAAAGATCACTTAAGATAACTAGGAATTAGCATGTTTGTATATTTTGGTAGGGGAGGAGGAAGAGAGAGGTGGGTGAGAGCATTGGGGGTGGTGTTGGGGAGAGCAGCAAGTACATAGACCTAGAGATGTGAGACCAAAACATATTTTGGCTCAGCAAATAGTTCAGCATTGCTGATAGTTGAATGGAGTTGAGGGAGTGACAAGAGGAGACACTGAAAAAGGTAAGCGAGACAGCTTAGGGTAATGAAGAATTTTGCATGATATGCTAAGGAACATGGACTTTTTCCTAGAAACAATGGGAACCACACAAGGATTGTAAGCAGATGAAATTTTGATAAGAAATGCATTTTAGAAAGATCACTCTGTGGAGTATGGCATGTATGGGGCCGGTTACAGTATTACAGGGGAAAAAAACAATGAGAGACTGAGCCAAGGCCTGACAGTGGCAGAAGAGAAAACTGAGGGTAATCAGACACTATTCAAGGGAATAGAACATAGTGACTAATTGCCTATGTTTGGGGTGAAGGGAAAAGGAAAGTTTTGAATTATGATGCTTGTGGTTGAAAGCAGCAGAAAATCCAGCTCTAACTGGCTTAATCAATAAAGGAGATTTATAACCATCTAGCTAGAAAGTTCAGGAAAAAGGCAGGCTATAAGGGTGACTGATTCAACAACTCAGAGTTGTCATTAAAGGCATTTTTTCTCATTTTAATTGTTTTTTTCTTCTTTAGTATTAGCTTTATCTTCAGATGATGGTTGCCAACAACTCCTGTATCTTTAAGTTTCGTTTTTTTGGGTCCAGAAGAGATAGGAAAAAGAATCACCTTTGGAAGCGCTTTTGTAAAGGAAAGAAAACTCCTTTCCCAGAAGCTTCAGTGATTTAATCATATGTCCATATATAAACCAAAAATGGCTGCCAGGAGATGGCACAAGTATAATTATCTTAGGATGAAGACATGAGCCTACCCTTAGAGCCACAGAAGTCAGCTTCTCCCAAAGCTGTGATGAGGTGTATATATCCCAGTGAAAATTGAGCTGATTATACAGAAAAAGAAGCTTGGAGTCTGAGAAGTGGGCTACAGTGTCTACGACAAGGAGGAAGCGAAGGATGGATCCCAGATTTCTGAATTGTGTGCTTATGAGCTAGTGATCAGTTATGTATATGACTCTTGGGCTCTGGAGAGAGATTTGGGCAGTAGAAGATATAATTGGAATATACCATCATATAAATGGCTGTTGAAATTATGGCAATGGATGAGATCACCCATGGAGAGTATGCACAGCAGTAAAAGAAAAGTCAATAATAACAACTTAGAGAACATCAGCACTTAAGGTGTAGGCAGGAAGATTGTGAAAATGCCTGGGAAGTAGCAAGAGAACTAGGAGATAACAAAGAAGCAGGAAAATGTAATTTACAACCAGGAGGAGAGTCAGTCAACATAAAGCCACAAATGACAGAGATGTTAGAATTAGCAGTCAACAACATTAAAACAATTGTGATAAGTATGCTCAGTATGCTGAAAGAGAGAAATTAAAGATATAAAGAATTGAATTTCTAGAATTAAAATGACAACTTCTGAAATAATTTCACTGGATAGGATTAACGCTCAGACGCAGATTAGACACAGAGCAAATTAGAGACACTCAGAAGAAAAGATTAGTGCACTTGAAAACAGCAGTAGAATGTAGCCAAAGGAAAGCAGAGAAAGAAAAAAAATCTGAAAAAATATCCCCCAAAACAGAGCCTCAGTGCTTTATGGGATAACACCAAGTGCTGTAATATTTGTGTAATTGGAGTTCCAGATGAGAGATGGGTCAGATGGTGACAGAAAAATTATTTGAAGTAATAGAGCTGAAAATATTTTCACATTTGATGAAAATTATAAACCCACAGATTCAAGAAGCTCAGTGAGCCCTAAGCAGGGTAAACACACACTCCCAAAAAACACTACAAAAGACATCACTGTTAAATTGTTGAAAACCAATAATATGAAAATGTTAAAAGCAGCCAGAGGAAAAAGGCATAATATGTATAGACGAACAAACACAAAATATCAGTAGACTTCTAATCAGAAACTGTGCAATTCAGAAGACCATGAAAAGCCATTTCCAAAGTGTTGAAAGAAAAAAACCTTCTTCAGAGAGATGCAAATCAAAACCACATTGAGATACCATCTCACGCCAGTTAGAATGGCGATCATTAAAAAATCTGGAGACAACAGATGCTGGAGAGGATGTGGAGAAAAAGGAACACTTTTACACTGTTGGTGGGAGTGTAAATTAGTTCAACCATTGTGGAAGATGGTGTGGCGATTCCTCAAGGCCTCAGAAATAGAAATTCCATTTGACCCAGCAATCCCATTACTGGGTATATATCCAAAAGACTATAAATCCTTCTACTATAAGGACACATGTACACGAATGTTCATTGCAGCACTGTTTACAATAGCAAAGACCTGGAATCAACCCAAATGCCCATTGATAATAGACTGGATTGGAAAAATGTGGCACATATACACCATGGAATATTATGCAGCAATCAGAAATGATGAGTTTGTGTCGTTTGTAGGGACATGGATGAATCTGGAAAACATCATCCTCAGCAAACTGACACAAGAACAGAAAATGAAACACCGCATATTCTCACTCATAGGTGGGTGATGAAAAATGAGAACACATGGACACAGAAAGGGGAGTACTAAAAACTGAGGTCTATTAGGGGGGAAAGGGGAGGGCCAGTGGGAGGGGGAGGTGGGGAGGGATAGCCTGGGGAGAAAAGCCAAATGTGGGTGAAGGGGAGAAGAAAAGAAAGCACACTGCCATGTGTGTACCTACGCAACTGTCTTGCATGCTCTGCTCATGTACCCCAAAACTATAATCCAATAAAAAATTAAAAAAAAAAAAAAAAGAAAAAAACCTTCTAAGCACAGTGGTTCACACCTATAATCCCAGCACTTTGGGAGGCCCAGGTGGGTAGATCCCTTGAATCCAGGAGTTCGAGACAAGCCTGGCCAATATTGTGAAACCCTATCTCTCCAAAAAGAAATTACAAAAATTAGTTGGGCATGGTGGTGTATTCCCGTAGTCCCAGCTATTCCCAAGGCTGAAGTGGGAGGATCACTTGAGCCCAGGGGGTTGAGGCTGCAAGTAAGCTGTGAATGTGCCACTGCACTCCAGCCTAGGTGACAGTGTGAAACCTTGCCTCGAAACAAAAAACAAATAAACAAAACACCCTGACACATAGAATCCTATATTTAGATAAAATATTTTCCAAAAATGAAGTTTAAGATGACAAAAGCTGTGAGGATGTCACCAGCCGAACTGCACTGCAAGAAATGTTAAAGCAACGTCTTAAGCATAAAAAAAAGAATATCACATGG